TCTCTGGGTCGTCTCCATTCTTGTTGAGAACAGTCTTCAGTCGTTCTTGGAGTATCTTCTTGGACCCGCTGCAGTCTTCATCGCGTTCTTCTAGTTGCTCACGCAACTGTTTCACTGAAAGTTCTACTAGCAGCATCTTTGGTCAAGCACACACGTACTTTTTTTTTAAATGTTCTTTCGTACAAAGATCACTACCGAAATACGCGGATGTTCCCGACGAACAATACTTTTCAAAAGTTCAAAAGTCTTTTTTTTTTAAATCACTGCTGCATTTATTTTCAAACCCCACACCTGACACCACTGTAACGTGATCAAATAAAACGAGCGGTTCGAATTTATATAAATATATTTATTTATAACTTTACAGTTCGGTATTCTCTTATCAACTAAACTAACTCCTAAGGTCGTTACATATATATACCTAAGTTACTATGTTCTAGAAAGTTCCCACCTCTAATTCGCGCACGTGGCCCATTGTTCTCTTGCCTTCGAGAGATCTAAGGATGATTCTGGAAGCCGTTTCGAGATGTAACCGTTATATGAGTCATGCCGAAAGCATGTTCGTAACAATATATTAATTCAGTTCATAGTCATATTCAATTTACAATAGAAACAGAACAAAATCAATCCATAAATTTTTTAGATTTAAAAATTAGCAGACTTCAAAACAAACATGACTTCTCCATATTTCATAAACCTACCCATACTGACACGACTATATACAATTCGTCATCCCATCCAACACAACATAAACTGGCAGCTTATCATAGTATGTTACATGGATTAACAGAAATTCCGATGTCAAAAGACAACTTTGAGACAGAATTAAATATAATTAAACAAATAGCAGTAAACAACGGATACAACGAACAAACAATTAATAAAATGTTAAATCAAAAACTACACAAGAAAGCCCTGAAATTAGTATTTCCACCACCACAGAAAAAACCCAGTACCTTCTGCTCAATTACATATACAGGCAAAATAACAACAAAAATTGCCAAACACATAAAAAAGAAAGGAATAACACCAGCTTTCCGAACAAATAACAACCTAGGCAAATATATTAAAAATAACAAGAGCCAAAATAAAAAACACCCTAATAGTGGTGTATACAAACTCCAATGTGGCGACTGCCCAAAAACTTATATTGGTCAAACTGGTAGAAACTTTGATAAACGAATAGCAGAACATAAAAGGGCTTTCAAGAATAGAAAAACAGATTCGACATACGCACTTCACCTTCTAGATCATAATCATTCTTTTAATGACAAATTTAAAATTCTTCACATTCAAAATAAAGGCCTTAAGCTATCTTTGTTAGAATCTATGGAAATCAACAAATTAAAAAACACAGATATAATTCTGAATGACCAACTTGAGACAAACAGTTCTCCCCTCCTCAACCTATTTCATTAGAGACTATAAATTTGTAAACCCAAGCCAAAATAGATCACTTGAGAAAGGCAATCAGCCGAAACAGCTGTAGTGATAATATTTAAAATAAATTTTGTGGAAGTTTGAAAACAAAGTTTTCAGTATTTTATTGTTACATAAAATGAATTTCCATCAAGTAACGGTCGAATCCATCAATTAACGAATTACTTAATATTAAATTAACATTGGACATCAACAATATATACAGTCTCCGAAGGGGACTTGAAACACAAATAAAAATCGAGTTTATATCATATTTAAATAAACAGAAGGTGTTCCAAAATATCAAAAACTTGAAGAGTACTAATGTTAGGATAAGTCATTATTATACAGATACATAACGTGAAGAAAATCGCATTTTAAGAAATCTGCTGGAGTCTAAAGCCAAAGGGGATACCAATCCTTACATTAAAAACGGAAAACTGTACGTCAATAATACATCACTTTCGGCTGCAGAAATAAAGTCCATTTACGAGGGACAGACGGAAGACATAAATATTAGCCGACCTCAAAGCGATCCAGGTACTTCCTTTTCAAACTCAAACATCTCAATTTTACACCAAGAACCGGAAAAATTCGAAGAAGTTACGGTACAGTCAGAAACTCTACACTCTAAAAATATTAATATCAGTTCCAAACACAAACCGACCCTCAGAACGAAATCAAACCAAAGTACATCAGCTGAACCAAATCCTAAGGAGAGTAAAACCCATATTGGACTCAGAAACAGAACCGGATCTACAGGAAAATAAATTTATAGCCTTTTGTTATTCCTTTTTACTCTTGTATTTGTACTTTTTTACCATTTATATTAGTTGGTGTTTATATTAATTGGTAACATATTAATGTATTGGTGTTTGTCTTTTACTTAACAATAATTATTCTAATCATATTTTAAATTAGAAATTAGTTTATAATTAATACTCCTTCGCATATATTTATACTGCTTCTTCTTAGTTGTAGCATTGATCTTTGATAACTAATTTTGATTTTGTTTTTTGTTTACACAGACGTTTGCGTCGATATTCTCTTAACTATACCCTACTAATGTACTCAGTCGGTATTGTACTAAGTCATTGTTACAAGATATTTGATTTTTTTTTTCTTCTTTTTCTGTTTTTTTTTTATTATGGATCAATATGTAAGAGATTTTTATTTGCCCACTGTTGATGATATCTTACGGGTAAACCAACTTAACAACAACTTTACTCTACTTCATAATAATATTATAAGTATTTCCAAAAACTTAGATGAATTCAAGCTACATATAACTGATATTACTACAAGTTTTGATGTAATTGTTTTAACTGAAACATGAAAAATTAATGATATTAATTTGTTTAACATACCAGGCTATAACGCAATATATAATAAGGGAGAACTAAATCAAAATGACGGAGTTGTGGCATACATACGGTGCAAATATCTCTTCACCTTCGATATTGTAAAATTAGGACCAACCAATATTTTAAAAATTAAATTAACTGTTGATAATAGCTATACAATTATGGTTTTTGCGTTTTATCGATCACCCTCTAAGGAAAACTGTAATTCGAGTATATCTGAATTTATTAATAATTTACAACATTTTTTACACAACAATGCTACCAATTCTAAAAGTTACTGTCTATTTGTTGGAGATATTAACATTGACCTGTTGAATTTAAGCGATGATACCATGGAATATACAAGTACTCTGAGTGAGTGCGGATTTACATCCATTATAAATAACTTAACTAGAATAACAGCTTGTTTAGATCATATATTTGTAAAATCAAAAACCAATAGCTTGGAGAATATTATTCCTCTAGTAATAGAAACTGACATAACAGGTCACTTTGCAATAGCATTACAAATAGTTTTTAGCAAAAAAAACAACTAAAAAGACAAATGACTATTATGCTAAACGAATTAACTACAAAAGGCTAATAGATATTATCTCTAAACAATCTTGGGACTTTGTTTGAGTAGATATTTTCGATCGTTTTTATTATTCCCAGTAATATCTCTCTTCCATACAGTAAGTGGACAACTTCTTTTAATTTGACCCGGTCACATGCCTTTTTATCTTTCCGACCTAAAACCTTATTGTTTTTCTGCTAGTGTTATAATTTCATTCAATTTATTTGTTATCACTTTGGTTGTTCATTTTATTTTTGTGTTTAATAAATTAATTCCTCTGTAATTTTCCGGGTCCGATTTGTCTCCCTTTTTGAAGAGAGGTATTAGGATGCTTGATCTCCATTCTTGAGGAATTCTGTTTTTGAAAACAGAATTCTGTCAATGTGAGAGTCAAAAATATTGAATTTCGAAAAATGATACAAATCGGTCTTGAGTAGCCCAAGTAGTGACGTCATTGTCGCACCACTGCTTATGTTCGTTCGCACAGTTTTCGATGTGAGATGTTATTTATTTGTTATCACTTTGGTTCTTAATTTTGTGTTGTCTTTAATTAATTAATTCCTCTTTAATTTTTCGGGTCCGATTTGTCTCCCTTTTTAAAGAGAGGTATTAGGATGCTTGATCTCCATTCTTGAGGAATTCTGTTTCTGAAAACAGAATTCTGTCAATGTGAAAGTCAAAAATATTGAAGTTCGAAGAATGATACAAATCGGTCTTGAGTAGTCCAAGTAGTGACGTCATTTTCGCACCACTGCTTATGTTCGTTCGCACAGTTTTCGATGTGAGATGTTATTTATTTGTTATCACTTTGGTTGTTAATTTTAGTGTTGTGTTTAATAAATTAATTCCTCTGTAATTTTTCTGGTCCGATTTGTCTCCCTTTTTTAAGAGAGGTATAAGGATGCTTGATCTCCATTCTTGAGGAATTCTGTTTCTGAAAATAGAATTCTGTCAATGTGAGAGTCAAAAATATTGAATTTCGAAGAATAATACAAATCGGTCTTGTGTAGCCCAAGTAGTGACTTCATTGTCGCACGACTGCTTATGTTCGTTCGCACAGTTTTCGATGTGAGATGTTATTTTAACTTAGGCGAAAATGGAATTTTTGACAACGTTCTACGCAGTCTTTCGATTCATTGTTAGTAATGTAAAGGACACATACCGAACGATAATAATTTTTTTTAATATATTGGACAAAATTGAAAAGGAGTTCAGGTACATTTATCGAGAGCCACAAATAATTCTTCAAAGAACCGCATGATAAAATGATTTATTTGTATTTTATTCTAAAGAATACATGGACATTTAAGTGTTAAAAACAAATAAAAATCAAATACTCGCAGTTGATGATATTTCAACAGAAAGGAACATAAGCTATGTACCTATTTGATTTTAAATTTATGTATTTTCCCACTTTGTAGCATCTAATCCCTGATATAAATTGTAATAAAAAATAATAAATATTGTTCAAGTACCTAATTATTAGATAAACTTTAAATTCCAGATTGAAAATGTAATATGTTCATGTAAGGTATCACTGATAATATCCACTTTAAAATGTTTATTTTAAACTCTAAATCATTATTAGCAATTTAATTGATAATATTCTGATTTCCCATATTGTTTTTAAATCCTTTTAGTCGATTACAGTTTCAATAAAGATGAAAACGTTTGTAATATTAAGTTTACTAATATTTGTAGTTGCACCTGCTTTTAATTTTGAATCTGTAAGTAGCTGCTAACTTTACTTTTTGGCTATTTTTGGAAACACTAAACAGTGCTGAAAGGCACTGATATACTGCTGCTTGCTATTGTCATTAATGTTGGATGTACAGTTGTGTGGCTCCTTACAATATTTTAACAGTTTTGCAAACAAAATTGACTTTAATGCTTGGAAAATTCAAATTTTGTCAACGAGGTTGACGTTTTTAGTAAAATTTTAATTTTGAGGTTGTGGTTTTTGCAAAATTTATATTTTGCTTTAAAAATTATTGATTTTCTTATTAAATTATCTTTTTTTACATATCATTAATTTACTTGTTTTATACAATTTTTGATAAAAAAATTTGGTTAAACGTAATAATAATATGTAATTATTAAACTTCAATTAAATCAAATATCTATCAAGCTTAATATCTTAATATCAATTTTCTAACAATTTGTAGGATAATGATGGAACGATAGTTAAAATATCCAACGGACAGATACAAGGACATATACTTAAAAGTGCTGAAGGTACAGATTATTACGCATTTCAGGAAATCCCTTTTGCTGAACCACCTATTGGAAAAAACCGATTTAGGGTAAGAGATAGAATAATTGGACTTTTTTAGTAACATCGTAACTATTACAACTATTAAAATTAACGGCATTGACAACCTTTATAACTTTAAGGTTTAAATTATGATGAATATATACAAGAGAATAACTATTTGTCAGAATTCTAACAAACTAAAATAATTTCTAGTTACCGCAGGAACCCAAAAACTGGGAAGGTGTTTTAAATACAACTAAAAATACTAAAGTATGCTATCAAGGAAATTATTATCCAAACCTGACGAAAACTGAAGATTGCCTTTACTTAAACGTTTATACGCCTGTGGTAAGTTATATATTTTATACTATTAGATTTTTAAATAATTATGTTATCTAGTCACCAAGTTAGAATTTGGAAAAAACATTACAGATGATTGTAACCAACAAACGAAGAACAATAATAGTTTTTTTAAAGTGTTTCATCATTTTCGCTTTTCAAAGCCCCAAGTGGGCTCTAAGGACGAGAAGAGCTGGTTTTTTGTTATCTAAACTTGAAGTTAAGTCACTACAATTAAAGGTTCAGTGTTATCATAAAAATGAGTAACTTATGCCCAAAAATCGTTACGATAGAGGTGTTGATCTTCCAACGAGTGTTAAAATATTAACCAAAAAAATAGTACCAAACATTTTTGGCAGCATGGCGTATTTATAACCTAACCTAAACTAAACATATTTGCCAGCAGAGCGCATTAATCATAGACATATAATACAAGATAGACTGATCATTGCAATTACAGCCCGTTTCCCCAGTGTTACAGAGAGATCTGACGCAAAGCAGTCACTGCAATTCTTTCTTATTTGCCCATTTTATTAACTGCGTGACCTAAATGACCGATGAGAACGGCACGTGGTCGATAAACCTGGCCCATTAGACAGACATGCAGGGACTGCTTTGCGTCAGTTTTCTCTATCGCACTGGTCAAATACGACTGTATTACAATAGTCAGTCTATATTCTATAAAAACGTCTATGGTATTTATGTGTTTACATTCAGATACACACACGTATCCATACACATACAAATATAATAAACTTCGGCTCTTAGTTACGTAAGGTTTGCTATAGTAAGGAGTACTCATGTTCGACGATCAACCAACTAACACCTCGTCGCAGACGGTACTTCCTGACTTCCTGACCGATTCTTCTTTTCAGCCCCAATCTCTTGATATACGTTATGAAGGAGGCTTAGTATATATGTAGTTTTTTCTTGAATACCTTGTGAAATGGAACATCCGAGAAGGCTTGTTGCGATAGAGCCGCCTAATCTGAGGGGTTGCATTACACGCCTTTCTTTCTCCATATTTTTATTTAAAATTTGTAACTCTTAATATTGCCTCTAATAAGTACATTTTTCTGTCCAGAGAGAAAACGACCTTGATCAATGGTTCTCTATGTTCAGCGAGTATGCGCAGGTGTAACGTTAAATTTTTACTTCGTTAAATATTTACTCTAGAGTTAAATTATAAAGTTAAATTTTTTACTTTAGAGTAAACTTTTAACGTTATAACGTTATAATTTTACTTTACAGTCAAACATTACCATTATATTTTAAAACTATATGTTTAAATATTACCCTCTGATTTGGAATAAGTACCACATTGGAAACTTTGATCTACCCATATTAGCGAAAGATACTTAGGGGATTTTAGATTTTGCTTTGATTTTTGGAAATTATCAATAGTAAAAAAATTAGGGAACAATTTGCCTCCACCTATTCTCCTTATCACTTGATGATTACTTGCGTATCTTCTCTCGTTTACAATGTCTCTGTAGAATACATAGGCTATTATAGAAAGAACGATGAGTAGCTTCGATGCAGGTTGTTTATAATTTTTCTATGAAAATTGCGTTTGTTCACATTTGTTGTTTACATTTAAAAAAATTAAAAAACAAAAATCCGGAGAGACATTAAACACGCACCTATAAAAGTGTTCGTTCTAAGTTTCAGTTTCATAAAATTTTGTAGTTAATTTAAAGTAATGGATCAAAATAATCAATATAAAAAGTTGACTTTGTTGAAGCCAAAATTTTTTTATTAAAGAGAAAGTACCCGATACAGTAGGTGAATATCCAAGCAAAAAAGCAAATTTTAGACGCCAGTGCAAGATATATGTAATGACAGATAATGAATCATCTCTTCTTCTTCGTTTTATATAGACATGACTCTGTCTGTTGTGTGCCTCCAGTAAGTTGTCGTTTCATCATTTTCTTGGTCTTCCTACTGATCGTCTTTCTATGAACCGACTCTTGCCCTGTTTACGACTTTATTTGCTGTCACTCGGCTTATATGATCCTTCCATTCTACTCATTTCTTTCTTACACAGTTCTTGATGTTCTGCACCTTACATCTACGTCATATATCCGTAGTTTTATCTGTATCCTTTTTTTTTTAAGTGAAACTGGAACAAACCATGAAGTGGAGATATCCAGGAGTGGCTAGTATACCTGTTGAATACAAAGCACGTGGTGTTCGTGTAGGTATATTAAGGTATAAAAAAAGCTCCTATTGAAAACTTAAAATTTTTATTTTAAAGATGATTTTTTTTATAATGGCTTTGGCTTTAAACCTTTAGCCACGTAATTACATATAAATAATAGTATTCATTCATATAGGATTGTACAAGGAGGACACTTTTCACGCTCAGGGATTCATCAGAGCGGCTTTATTGTAACAAACAAGACATAAACCACGGTTAGGTAGGTGGGCAACATATATGGTAAACATACAAAGGAAATGTTCAAGCATACGATCAATTTTACACTCATACCTTTAATTTAATTTTTACAAGAAATATCATAATTATTTTAAAGATTTTTATATTGTCTTCACTTAATAGGAGATTTACGTTTAGTGGTGTACTTAATCCCTCTTTTATCAATTCTTCTATCAGCCACGTGCTTGTATTACGATGTAGTGGGCAGTTAAAGAATATGTGATTTAAATCAGCTATACTAGTTCCACACTCACATCGGTCTGTTGGGAGAACTCCTATTTTGTGTAGATGTTTCGGAAAACATCCATGATCTACTTTTAATCTTAAGACAGTTGCCACTGTGTTTCTGCTTAGTGTAACATCTTTGTAAAATTGTTTTACATCTACTGTGGGTTGTAATTTGTATAAATTAGTGCCCCTGCTTTCACCAAACTGAATCCATTGTCTGTCCCATTTAAATTTAATATGTTGTTTGATATAGGCAAGTAGATCACATGTGTTAAATTCTTCTATCACCATATGTGGGTGCTGTAATGGATTTTTAGCTATAGAATCAGCAATAGTATTGCCAACAATATCTGAGTGTCCCTTGACCCATAGAAATTTAGTACCATATGGATCTGATAGTTTTAGTAACTGTTGAAAAATTTCTAATATGAATATGTTGCTATTGATTGTGAATTTAAAGTTTTGTAAGGAGTGCAATACTGACAGTGAATCACTGCATATGACAATTTTGTTCCACTGGTTTTCACAGCACAATTCAAGGGCTTTGTATATAGCACACGCTTCAGCAGAAAAAATGCTGGATTGATTATTTAAAATAAATGATTTTTTAATCTTCATTTTTGGTACAAAGTAAGCACTGGTTGTACATGTTGGTGATTTTGACCCGTCTGTATAGATCACAATATGATCTGAATATCCACTTAAGATTTCTTTAAGAGTAGTGTAGCAAAATTCGTTTTGGTATTTTGGGATAATAATATTTGTAGCTAGAACACTTGTTAGATGTGGTATATCCAACGATTCCCAGATAAAATTACAAGGGGAATTTATTAACTTCAGTTCGTTGCAAGTTATAATTGCTCTTGAAAGTGGTGGAGAGTTTTTTTTAACGAAGTATGTAGATGTTGAATCAGCTGTATTTAATTCATTAATTATTTTTGCATTATAAGTGCCACGATAATGTTGGTTTAGGAAATATTTGCTTGCTAGATATTCTCTGCGTAATGAGAGTGGATTTTCAGATGCTAGAGCTAGGGTGGCTTCATTTGGAGTGCTTTTCATCAATCCTAACACAATCCTTAGAACTTTAAATTGAATTCTATCAAGTTTACGTAAATTGGTTATGCTAGCTGACCCATATACCACACAACAGTAATCTATTATAGATCTTATATAGGCTCGATAAAAATTCAATGCAATGTTTTGATCTGCACCCCACGATCTCTTACACACCATTTTAAGAAAATTAATACCTTTTTCGCAGCGACCAATTGTATAATTAATATGTTGAGTCCAAAGCAGTTTCCTGTCAAGTATGACACCAAGATATCTAAATTCCGAAACAATTGGAATATCATTGCCATGTAAGGTTACAGCGTGATGTTTAATAGGGTGTTTTCTTGAAAAAAATACTATGGCATATTTTTGGTACGAAATATTGAATCCATTTACCAAGTCCATTATCCAAGTTGTACATAATATGTTTGAGTTCAGTAGTGCTTTCACTGTACGTTTTCTTATGTGAATAGATGACAATATCATCAGCATATTGTAAGCAAACAATATTGGGAGACCATAAATTGTGCAAATCGTATGTGTACAAATTAAAAAGAAGTGGACTTAAAACAGCTCCTTGTGGAATACCTTTTAATGTGATATTGGGTCCAATAATATTGTGACCTACTCTTATCGATACACTTCTCTCTTTGTATAGGTTTGATAGTAAATGTGCTATCGATTTTGGAATGCCAAGAAACACAAGTTTATCACAGAGTATATTTAAATCAATATTGTCATATGCACTTTTTATGTCAATAAACAATGCAGCTGTTGTTATGGAATTAGAAAAACCAATTTAAACATCTCTAGTCAGACGAACTACTGCATCCGTGGTTCCATAGCCTTGTTTATATCCATATTGTGTTGTTGGTAGAATATTATGCCATGATCTAGGGCTAACTAGATGCTAACTCATCAGTTAGCCCAAGACTCCAACACAGATCAGAGGTAATGTAAGTCGATAAAACCTCACCAGCTACAGGGGGTCATATAAGATGCCCCCATTTTCATTTTTTATTAATACACAATTTAAGAGTCTATTGCATTTACCTTAATAAATACCATGAAGATTACTTTTTAAATCCGGATGTCCATCCAATGTTTTTTATGTGGCCATACAATGTTTTTTTTTCAACATCTTTTTATTAAACTGAAGATGGAATGATACAATTCCGAAAAGATCTTCGTTAAAATAAAAATTTTAAGCTTTTAATAAGCGCTTTTTTATACCTTAATACACACGAACACCACGTGTTTTATCTGTATCCCATAGTCTCTTGGTATC